TTCTTTCATACTTTTCTGTTTTCTTCTTTGCTAAATCTTTTATTCAAGCAGATTAGGATGCACTCATCATGATGAACTCATGGCTGTGCATTAAAAGAAACAAATGATCCAAATGTGCCTTTGCCAGCACCAACAAATACAATTTATTAATACTCTCAATGGATGCAAATGAACTTTTGTAACATATCAAACATGAACTTTTTTTTTTTATTTTTTTTGTTCATAATAATGAATCTCTTATGGGTTTTTAAAGTTAAACTAATCATCCAACATAATATGGTATAACTACAAAAACTACACACCTGCAAAAATTACCAACACAACCACCAATCATTCACCGCCTATCATCGTGCCACAGAGGACGGCCTCTAAACAATCTCCGGCGAAACACTGCCGGAATCCAGCGATTAGCAAATCTCGGCTAGTTCTCGTAAGCAAAAGCATTAGGCACTTGCATCTCGATTTCTGCACTTGCATTGGTGAACCGAGGAGTTTCGGGCAGCTGATTGTCGAATTCGTCTATTGATATTACGGTGCTCGTGTCCGTGTGGACAGTTGAGTCGTCTGCAAAACCTCCGCCCAATTTTCTCCTTCTCTTAGCCGCCTTATTCCAGCCATGAATAGTTTCGCGTATGCTCGGTGGAATTAGGGCCGCCTTGTAGTTTGATCCCATCTAAGACCAAAAACCCGAAAAAAAAATAAAAAATAAAAAATAAAAAATAAAATTGCATGGCATTTAGTACGAGGGCTCTGAATGGCAAATTTGACGGGGATTTCAACCATCAGATCAGATCATTGCACAGACGAACGATTGTGATCCAATGGTTAAAACCCCCGTGAAGGCAATGCCCACGGTTTAGGCTATGTTTCGTAAACGTAGCTTATAGTTTTTAAGTGAATTTCGAGCTTATAACTGATAGCTTATATGATTAATGGCTCAAAAGTTAGCTTATGTGATAAAAGTGTTTGGTAAAATTAGCTGAAATAAAAATTTCAATGGGCTTATTTGAAAAACTACCCAAGGAAGCTTATGAGATAAGCTCGAGCTTTTTAAAATACAGGAAGATTATAAGCTAATCAAATAAGTCATAAGCTAGCTTATATGCTCACCAAACACAACCTTAGCCTAATTACGAAAGGACCCAATTATATCAAGAATTACAACAAGTGCCCCCATTTTCACATACACATAAAGATTCTAGGCACAGTTGCAAAAACCAACCATGTCGAGGGCTTACTTGTAAACTTCAATCGAATACATGCGACATTTTTCGTCAGACTGAATTGCAGGGATGACTTTTGTAATTAAACTACGTTTCTATTTTACAGACTTGCACAGACAATTGGGAAAATTTGTGAAAAAAAACAATACTCAATTCTTGGTATTTTACCTGAGTAACTAGTGCATAGAGGGGTAAAGTACTGTAGCTGCATAAAAACTGCCCTGTAAATCTATGCAATGAAAAGCAAAAATCAAAGCTTGTATCACAATTAAACATAACGTAACTTAAAAGAGTTTTTAAGCATACCCGAGAATTAGTCGTAGATAAACGAGAAAATGGTTCTTTATGAAGCAGGAATGGTACCCAAATTGCCACTGTAATTTGGAAAAAGCTCAGTCAGAAAATCAATTTTTGGAGAATAATTCAAATTTTATTTTCTAGTCGTTTAACGATATTTTTATTTTATCATAACTAATTGAAACATCATTTTCAATGGAGAAAAAGTAAAGCAAGGAAGAGGAAAATACCCAAAACCAGAAGAATGAAGCAAGCTCAAATGCGTTCTGTGCATGTAAAAACACGTGAAGATTATTGTCAATGTAAAACCTCACCGAAGAAAATTTGGAGAAATAATTTCATGATTTAAATTTACTAAGGAAACTAGACAAAACCTGAAAAAGAATAAAATGAATCAAGGACAATAATAGTTCTGGCTTATTAAACCAAAACAGTTCATCTCTGAGTTTAAAACTCGATCCGCCATAATTCCCACTTATTCCTACGCTCTCGAGTGCCAAAGTTGCGATAACATGCTGCAGCTTTGTGCCAACTAATAAGACGAGCTGCAAATAAACACATTGCAGATTTTTAAAGAATATAATCTATATTGTCAAAGGAAATAGTTTACATGATTTAGCGTGTCAAAATCTAAAAGGAAGGATTCAACAGATCCACTCAATATCGCATGAAAAAAAATCTTCTCAAGAAAAGAAAAAAAAAACAAGGCTATGTGGATTTTAAGGTATTATATGTCTTGGTAACTGTTCTAACCCGGCAAATTTCATTTTTTCCATTGAGAATTATAAATAAAAGAAATCATAAAAATTGTAACTACACATTTCACTTTTAGTTGATAGAGTGTAAAAAGAACTCACGGCGAAAGGAATCAATGCAATCCAGAAGTAGAGATTAGATCCTGCAAGTTCAAAATTAATACATTTACTATAGAACACAAAATGGTGACAATTTAAGATAAGAAAATTGCATTTGTAGGAACTGATGTTGGGAAAGGTATATCAAAAGCACCCTCTTGAATTTACACTCTTAAAAATCAGAAAAATGTTTGCATTATCTTTCTCTTTTTTCAACAACCATTACATAAAGATAAAATCGAAAAAATGAATGTCTAAAACTGACTAATCTTAATATCATAATAATCTAACGCCTTCAAAACAATGTGTTTCAAAACATAATCAGTCTTTCCACCAAAAATACTCCAATGAAGCCTAAATAACTCACCATTTCTAATAAAGATGTGAAAGATAAGGCAGTGTAGATTTAAACTTGACATACCTTTCACGTTGAACAGCATAAAAGCTACTACGAATCCCCAGAGAGGAGCACTGTGAATATCGAACAAGAAAAGAATGAAAGCAAATCGCTAACAGACATGAAATTTGAGCTGAACATAAACACAAAGAAATGAATAGCACACACTTTATAGGAACTATATTACAAAATGGGCTTATTAAGTCAATCAACAACAAGTTAAATATTTTGGAAATAAGCTTTAAACAATCTATAACTAATAGGAGGTCAAAAATTGAAATTTTTTGTCTCAGTCTGTCCAAGATCAACTTTAATTTTGAGTTGAAGATAAGTAACAAGAATAATTTTTTTTTAAAAAAAAAAAATCGGTTACTAAAATGATGCTCTGCCTTACCTAACACCAACTATGCTTTGAAACTCTTCTTCCATGGAGCGAATCATATAGCTGTGAAAATCATATTTTGGAGTAAGGTTGTGATTCTGCCATAAACAAGAAACATAAGATGTATATCCTTATATGGACATGTATCAAGTGATAATNCAAGAGATCAACTTTCTATGCATCAATTACCAATCAAAATATCAAATGATGATGCATATATTTTTGATTAATTTTTATATCATGTTTACATACCGTAATGAAGCCTTGACGTAGTGTAAGGTAATCTACACGGGCCACCGAACGCCCGAATTGTCGAAGGGAGCAAGTCTGAATGTTCCAAACATTGTAAATTTTCAATCAGAATGTCTGTTCGCATAATATAACCCACTTTTAACTAGAATGAAAAAATGATAATTAGGAAAAAAAAATCGTGAATATAGTGGGAAGTAAATGAAAGCACCATCCAAACGAAAAATCGGCTCCTGTCCGTAGGATTTGAGACATGCACCCGGACAAAGGTCGATTGCCTTTGCCGTGTAATTGCTTTGGTAACTTCTGCAAGAGGAAAAAAAAAAATAACTATATCACTCGTGAATCGTGATTCAAAATTTTGGATTTTGTTCCTCAGCTTAAACAAAAATCATTTTAGTGGATCCAAAAAAAGAATAATATCCTCCTTTTCAGCTTTTGAAATGACTGCTTTACAATTGAAATGATAATATTCCAGATAGTTAGAAATTAAAAACCGTTCAAGGGTACCGTGTAAAAAATTGGGCCTGTTTATTTGAGCTTCATCCTCCCATACTCTCCAACTGTGAATCTGCAAGAGAAATTCTAAAGTAATTTTATTACAACCTATGAAAGATGTAAACATAAGTAACATCATCACACGTGTTCAAACATAGAAATGAACATAATGAACTCACAAGTAAGCGAAACATATAAAATTACATGTAATCAAATAATAAAAAGAGATAACGAGTAAAGAGACCCCGAGTATATATATATATATTATATAGGATAACTGAAAAGGGGAAAACAAAAAGAACACCTTTACAATAGCCAGCAACATTGTTAGGCAACTGTAAGATATGTGTGTGACTGCCATAACAAAAATGAATCGGTGGAGTTGCTCAAGGCCTTCATGTGACACAAATGGCTCATAATTCTGCATATTCCAAATAAACTCTTCTTAGAACTTTTGTATGAGATGGAACTTTAATCATCACAAGAAAATAAGAAAAAGAAGTCAAAACCTAGAAGTAGCAAAAATATGACGGGCGGCGAAAGAGTTAGAAAATCACTACATGATGAAAAATGCATGCACACACATAAGTTAAAATAAATATAGCCAAAAAAATATATATATATATTGTGACGTTCCACATTGAATTAACTAGCCTCTGGGCAGGTATTCCGGTTTAAACCCGTCAGCATCCTCCTATACGAGTGAAGATCCTTGATAGCTATCAAAAGTTTGCGCTCTTTAGAGCTATTGCTCTCCCATGCCTCGTCAGCTTCCAAATCCGTGCATGGAACAAATACACTATCATAGAACTTTGATGGTATGCAAATATTAGATATAATGCTTGAAGTTGCTGTAAGAAGGAGGGATATGAAACCAAGAAGCATCAATTCTGTNAAAAAAAAAAAAAAAAAAAAATTGAAATGAAGCTCGATGTTATAAATGATATCTATTGGCCAAATACACATGAGAATTTTTAAGTATACATTAAGATATATACGCATGAAAAATAGCTATTACCTTCCTTCATCTTCTCCACGGCAGCTTGCAGAGGTTTTCTATTAGTTTTCTTCAACCACTGAAATTTCAATACCAATCGTAAGCTCATGGAAGACAAATTTGAGCGAGAAAAATGCAAACGACAAAAAATTCCCTAAATGTTCCCAATGTAAGCTATACAACAAAAGTGAAGTAAAATTCACCAAGAACGTTAACAAAAGTTAACTTCTCGATAAACAATTTACTGGCCAATTCACACACACGCACACATGTGGCATATGACAAGATTTTGCACCGAAAATAAATTCAACTAGGTAGGCTGCAAAAACAACAACTGAAAGCCTGCAAAACAATGAAATTCTTTCAATGCTAAAGCACCTGTTGCTAAAATGAGACATATTGGGATTTTGGACAATAACTCGAGCAGAAAACTTCACTTACATTGCCCAAGTGATGAATCGAGCGCTCGACCAACAATGAAACAACAACAAATACACTTAAAACAGAGGCCACAGACCACGTTGGACTCGAGCCCAGTGACCTCAGCTCCTTAGTATCTTCTGACATCATCCCGTCTAACTTGTTCTCTGACATCCTTAATAAAACCAAAAACTACTGTCTAAAGATTATAGTGATAGTATCATACCACCCCAAAGAACTGACCAAAACCAATTTGAGGAAAAGCTCAAAATCAAAACTTTGTTTGAAGAATACATGCCCAAACTTCACATTACTCGGAGAAAAACAGTCTCTCCAGTAAGAATATGTGTATTCTTCACATCACTCGGAGAAAATAACAAAACTTACCAATAAACATTACACGCTCTAAGCCTCACACAGCAAAAAAAGGGTGATATGTCGGAGAAAATTGATAAAATTAAAAAGGGCCCCAGCAGAAGTACATCAATAAGCAAGATATGTAGATAACATGGAGAAGAGAAACAGTCTTTTCAACTAGAGCCCAGATTAAAAAAATCAAATCTTGAGCTGTAAATTTTCGTAAAACTGAAGAATAGACGAAGCAAACAAGCGAATACAAATATAATGAGAAATGTCGATATGGGTCTCTTTCTGCACGTGTGACTGTGATGTGAGTAGAGACGAAATGAGCTGGCCTGGGGAGCAGGTGATTCAAAGCCGATAGTCGATCTTCCAGGCTTATATTGGTTGTTATCTGCCATTTTTATACTGCTTCAGGTTGCGGGACTCTCGTTTTCTCTTTTTTCTAACGACGGAATTTTATAATTGGATCACACATCTTTTAACGTTGTTATAGAATAAATTTTAACAAATGTCAAATAATTAAATGTATTGTGAACCATGTTGAAAAAATGTCAAGTTTACAATCATGAAATTAAAAAATTACCTCCAATGTACAATGTAGTCTTACTACAATATTATCTACTTAACAAATACTAAAATTTTATAATATGTAGTAAGAAAATTAATTAAATAGTTAAATAATTAGGAATTTGTAAGAATAATTCTCTTTCTTCTCTTTATTGGCTAGTTAGAGTGTCGAGTGAACCACATTCTTCTCTACATTATGACTTTAATTATGTTCACATCAGCACAACATTTGTTATCACACTATGCATTGGAGAACCAAAAGTTGTGACATTGCTAAATATGTTGATATACAATGTAATTTACCACAACAACATTTGAGTATTGGAAATGCTCAAATAAATTATGGCCTTATGGGTATTCGGATATTTTATGTTTTTTTATCATTGTACCACATATACTATGACTATGTTTACTAAAACTAGAACTAGCCCAGATGAAATTAATTTTAATTTTATAATTGATAACTTATGACTGATAACAAAAAAAAATAAAAATTTACATATTAAAAGTGTTCCACTGAAATAAATGCTTGTTTGAAAAGTCGCCTAAGAAATTTTATAAAAATAAGCTCCATCTTTTTTTTAAAAAATATCCTACAAAACTAAGTTTATTTGGATGAGAAAGCTTATAAGCTATATATATTTTATCATAGTATTTTTTATCAAATCGTAAAAATCCAAAGAATGCAATGAATGCCTTTATAGGT